CAAGTTTCTAACTCCTTGCTGTTGTAGTCTCTGGTCTAGAGGCTGGTTGTAGCCAATGATAATCAGAGCCTCCATGAAGGGTTGCAAATTGTGGAGCCTGACATTCTAGCATCCTTCCTTACTGTCAGGCTGTAGTACTCCGTAAAGAGAAGTGTGATTCAGTAGTGCCATGTACATTCTCTGACTTTGTTTGCCAGTTTGCAGAATAACAAGTTTGCTCCGTTGGTGATTGGTGAGTTTTTTACATCAGTACAAACTTGCATGCATAAATATAATTGAGATGTTTAATCTATTAAAATTTGAAATTATTCATCTCATTAACAGTTCGTAGACTTGAAAACAAGATATTTAGCATGTTGTAAATAATGAAGGCTATAAAAGAAAGTACATCAGTATAGTAAGATATATGATTTAGTAATGCAGGCATACCCCTTAGTATGTTAAATCCCAAACATTCTTAGCTGAGAGCACCTCTACTTAAAGTTCAATATTTTAAGGGACCCTAGGCCTAAAGAAATAATTAAGTTTTACTTATTAAGTAAGTCCAAACAACATAGTGTTTATGTCCTAGCTATTTACAGTAGACATTTGGAAAAGTAATACAAATTTAAAGAAAAAAAATTTCATTTCATTTTGTAAGTAGCCACAACTACTTACAAATGAAATGTGTATCCTGTCAGATTTTTCTTGAATCTTAGTATCATATTGGACATGGCTACTCTTTTGCCTGTTCTACAATGATTTCACACAGTATTTGCTTTTCAGTAACTGCCAGAAACCTAGTTTTGCAGAAACATGAAATCAGGGAAAGGGATGTGGTCAATGATGTTGAAATGATGAGGTGTCCAATAACGTTGAGAATCACTATCCCTCTCAGAAGTAAAATGTATCCTCTGGGGCCAGAGTTCCCTGTGGGCTAAGGGGGCCTCACACACTTCTGGGAGCCAGAGTTTTGTGTCCCACCCTCTCCCCTGGCTGTGGGTGTCCCTCTCCCCTGGGCCGAACAGCTCATCACCCTGGCCCCCACCGCTCAGGGATGGGTCACTAGATCTTGTCACGCCCGACAACCAGTCCCAGTGCTTAGGGGATGCTTTTCTTTATCCTTTGATTTCAGCCACTTCAGAGCTCAAGACTTGGCTCCAGCTTCACTGTGATGTGCCGTTTCCCTACCTGTACTGGGCCCGTCTAACCAAAAGGGTGGCGGGCTCTCAGGGTTAATGTAAAAATAGCTCACCCAGACCAGAGAGAGTGGTCTGTTATAAGTGCCCATTTCCCTGCTGATGTGACTTTGAAAAATGCCAGAAGCACCCTTTCCTTCCCTGGCCCCCTCCTGCGTTTTCAGTGTGGGACCCGGTGAGGTGGAGTGTAGCTCTGAGTCCTGCCATTGGTGTTGGGCTTGGCCCTGTTGCTGGTTAAGACCAAGAAAATGTGGGGAGAAATGACAATGTGCAAATTCCAAGCTGAAGCATCATGCATTTCTTTACCCCTGTGGGAACTGTTAGGTGAGCATGCTCTGGGTAGCTGCAGCCCCTTTGGCCTTTCCCCAGGAGTGGTCCAGAGCCATCCCAGCTGATCTGTGGCCTGTGAGTGAGGAAAAGTTGCATATTGTTGTACACATTGAACTTTGGGGTTGCTTGTTAGGCAGCAACAGCTGACTGGTAGAAATAGAAAAGAGATCCATGAGAGGAAGGTAAAAGAGTGATGGAAAGACACTCTGAGAGGGTTGTGTTCTTGGGATGGATGGATTTTTTTTTTTTTTTAAGAAACTTCTATTTTATTCAAGAGTAATTTCTAAGCCACCTTTAGAAAGTTTCTTTTAAAAATCATTTTTCTTTTTTACACCAAGCAACCTACATGGCTACTGTTTGCTTATTTGTTTTTTGTTTTTGATGATGGATGGATTTTTTAAGGATATGTAAAATGATTCGTCTGTGGAGTGATGTTATATCCATTGATACTTAAAATAATACTAAGAGGAAAGCAATGGTTTTATCCCCTTTTTACAGATGAAGATTACTGAGGCTCAAAGTAGTTGAAGGTGCGCTGGATGCGCCTGTTCCAGACCCCAAATCCCTGACTCCCCTGGGCTGGGCTCTTCCCCAGGCTGTGCTGCCTCCCGCAGGCCCAACTCTATGAGGGCAGCCGACATGGCAACAGGCTTGGCACTTGGTACCAGTGGGGTCTTTTTCCTGGTGTGCTGGGGAGAGGGCGGGCTGTAGCTGGGAGTCCCCCCAGCAGAAGGGGTAGCATTTGGTTCAGAGAACAGGAGAGCCAACAGACAGGTGCCTATGTCCCATGTGCTGAGAACTGGAGGGGCTACACCCCCTGTGGTGCTGGACCAGGGCCCCCATCTAGTTTTGCTCACATGCTCCCTTCAAAGTCTGGCGAGTGTGTCCAGGAAAGAAACTCCTGGAAGAAAGTGATCTAGGCCAATGTCTTGCGTGGTTGACATCTGGATTTTGACTTGCTTAGAGCCATCCCAGCCCTGACAGGTGTGGTTCAGTTGGTTAGAACGTGTCCCATATACCGGAAGGCTTTGGTTTGGCCCCTGGTCAGGGCACATGCGGAAGGCAAACCGTCAGTTCTCTCTCTCAGTGATGTTCCTGTCTTTCCCTTCCCCTCTCTCTGAAGTCAGTAAGCATGTCCTTGGGTGAGGATTAAAGAGAGAAAAGAAAGCTACCCCAGCCGCAGGGATTGAGGACAGGAGATTCAGTGATCAAACCTTTGCAGACTGCAGTGGGGCTCCTGGCAGCTGGAGGACCAGCCCTTGCAAGGGACACGTGAGCTGGCCGACATTCCCGCTGACAGCCAGAGCCGTCCATCAGCATGTTTTCATTACTTCAGAGGCTCTGGTCTTGTGAAGCTGATTTACCGAATGAAGTTTTTAATCCCCGCTGTGTCTCTTGCTTCATGGCCAGCTGCCAGAACTGTGGCACTTTTGTGACTTAGGCCTTGGTCCCTACCGACTGCTGCTCTCAAGCCCCCCTTGCTCCCAAACTCTAGCCCCAGGCAGCCCTACACACTCCATGGCAACAGAGCGGCAAGACCCTTCCATCCCAGGGAGGGACCCTCCCTCCCCACTTGGGGCAGAACCCCCCTGGATGGGGTGGTGGACCCCAAAAGGTATCCATGTCCCGATTCCTGGAACCTGTGAGCCTGAAACCTGGAAGCTGAAGCTTACATGGCAAAAAAGGACTTTGCGGATGTGATGAAGGAACTGAGATGGGGAGACGGCATCTTTATGAGGGGGCAGACTGCAGGTGGAGGCAGAGATGGAGTGCTGTGGCCACACTCCAGGACACCAGGCATCCCCGAAGCTGAAGAGGCAGAAGGACCCTCCCTCAGAGCCTCTGGAGCGCGGCCCTGTTGACACCTGGACTCCAGTTCCATTAGGTGGACTTTGGACTCTGCCTTTAAAACTGTTAGAGATTAAATTTATTTTTTAAGCCACCAAGTTTGCTAATACAGATGGGAGTCAAGAGTTCCAAAAAGAAATGACTGGCCCAAGGCCTGTTGGGAACCCTCACAGACACTGCGCCTGGAACACACAGGCCCTCTTCCTCCCTCAGGAAGGCTCTCTACTGCTTGCCGGCAACCGAGGTGGGTCCCACAGTCCCCCCCACTTCCAAGCCGTGAAGTTCCCAAGGCTGTATCACACTTGTACCCCTTAGAGCAAGCATGTCAACCATGCGGTTTGACATGCTTGCCATTGAGCCCCAGCTTTTAGCCAAGTTGCTGCAGCGAATGGATTAAGCAGGGTTGGGAGTGGTGAGAGACCTAGTGTGCTCCAGGGCCACCACGGGCTCTGTGTGCGTGATGCAATGTGGGATATCTGGCTTTGACCCCTGGCTCCAAGGTCACCTCAAGTCCTGCATACTGGAGGGCAGCCAGGACCCCGCCTCCAGAGCACACCTGTTCCCCACCCCTGGGAGAGAAGCATGTGTGAAGGACACACTAGCCTTTGGCCCAATTACTAGATTTTTTTTTAAACTACGTGCAAATAGCATCAGGTGCTCTCTTTACAGCATCGAAAGCCTGTGCCTGTTCAAATAAACACATGCCAACCACTCACCTACGGGGGAGACCACACAGGCAGCGCCACTGTTCTGCCTCAGTCAGGTGATGCCCGGAAAGGTCGCAGCCACCTGAGCCTTTAAAACGCAGGCGCCACGAGCATTCCGTGTGGGGATTCAGAGCTGTAGCAGCTCTGCGAGGGCCTCTCAGCTGTGTTTCTGAATACACTTCCCTCTGCAAGTCATTTTTATTTTCTTAAAGGAACCAGAGGAGAAAATTGATACCAAAGAATATCAATTCCAGGTTCTTGGCAGCATACCGTCACCTTTGGTAGAAGTTCCATTTCAGGTGAGTGTGTCTAGTCTCAAGAGCTGTTGCCGAAACCGGTTTGGCTCAGTGGCAGAGCATCGGTCTGCGGACTGAAAGGTCCCAGGTTTAATTCCGGTCGGGGGCATGTACGTTGGTTGCGGGCACACCCCGTTAGGGGGTGTGCAGGAGGCAGCTGGTCGATGTTTCTCTCTCATCGACGTTTCTGGCTCTCTCTCTCCCTTCCTCTCTGTAAAAAAAATCAATATATATTAAAAAAAAAAAAAAAAAAAAGAGCTGTGTGACTTGTGGCCAGTGGGCGGAAAGGCACTAAGCCACAGGCCTGTGGGGTCCCTCTGGGTGACTGGCCATGCTGGGAGGAACGCTGGCCAGACGGGTCTGGAGCAGGGAGGGCAGTGAGCCATGTCCCACTGGCCTGAGCGCCGCCTCAGGCTGGGGACCCTTACAGGGGCTGCTCTTCTGGTGGGTGGAGGGGTGAGAAGACCCAGGTCCGGCTCTCTCGTGCCGGCCAGAGGGTGGAGGCGCACCTGGCTGCTCAGGACTCCCATGAAGTCAGTTACTCAGCCTTGGGCTCCACCAGCCCCGAGTGGCTGAACTGAGGGAAGACGGGGCACAATCTTCTCTAATCCAGACCCACATGCAAATGTCCCTCCTCCAGAATGAAGGGAGCCAGGCTGATGGGGGTGCTGCTCACCCTGACTGGGGTGCTGCACGTGGTCCTGCCCCTGAGAATAGCAGCCTTCAACATCCGGACTTTCGGGGAGACCAAGATGTCCAATGATACCCTCTCCAACTACATCGTGCAGGTAGGTCCAGGCCAGTGTTCAGTCCTGAAGACACCCAGACTGTTAGGCTCCTGCTCTCAGCCCCGTCAGCTGTGGGGACCGGGCCCTTATCACCACCTGATGTGAAAGCATCCTGAGCTTGGCTCCTGCAGGGACTTGGAGTGGGCAGGGCCTGGACACCCGGCTCCGTCTAACCTGCCGCCACTCAGCACCACTGTGGCCCTGTCCTTAGATCCTGAGTCGCTATGACATTGCCTTGGTCCAGGAGGTCAGAGACAGCCACCTGACAGCCGTGGGGAAGCTGCTGGACAGACTCAATCAGTGCGTGAGGTGGCAGGGCCCTGGGGAAGCACATGGGGACAGCGATCACCCCTTCAGGGCATGAGGCCACTTCGGCCCCAGGGACACTGATGTGGGCAGGAGCCGCTGGAGGTGGCAGGATGGCCCCTAACGGGCACATTTCTTTCCTCCGTCTAGGGATGACCCCAACGCCTACCACTACATAGTCAGCGAGCCGCTGGGTCGCAGCACCTACAAGGAGCGCTACCTCTTTGTGTTCAGGTAAAACCCAGGTGCCCCTCCCCTAGGTCGCTGGCAGAAGTGGGGGTGGGGGTGAGGTGTCTAGAAAGCCCGGGAACCTCTCCTCCAGGAGCGGGGCAAGAAGTGGCGGCCAGAGCAGGGGCCGAGTTGGGCCTCACCAGCGGGGCAAAAGGAGCTCTGGGCTGTGGGGTGTGCTATCCCAACGTAGACCGGGCACCATGCCCGCAGCAACAGGTGGGTTTGGCAAGAGCCCCAGCCCCAGGTTAAGCTTCCTCTGGCCCGGCCTTCCGCAGGCCTGACCAGGTGTCGGTGCTGGACAGCTACCTGTATGACGATGGCTGCGAGCCCTGTGGGAATGATACCTTCAGCCGAGAGCCAGCTGTTGTCAAGTTCTCCTCCCCATTCACCCGTGAGTGCTGCTGCCACAGAGGCTTCTCTGCCTGCCCGGCCACGGCCCTACCTGGCCTTCCCACACACCGTGCAGAGCCACAGCACGTCGTGCCCCCACCACGCACCTCTGTGGGGAGCTTGGTGCCATCCCCATTCCTAGTGCTTTGGTCTTACATTTAAGTTAGTCTACCCACCCCTCACTACCCGTCCCCCCTCCCAGCCCCAAACACATGACAGCCAGGCCAATGCACCCTTGGACCAGGACTGCCTCCCAACTACGCACGACCGCCTTCTCCACAGAGGTCAAGGAGTTCGCCATCGTCCCCCTGCATGCGGCCCCCCTGGACGCAGTGGCTGAAATCGACTCCCTGTACGATGTCTACCTGGACGTCCGGCAGAAGTGGGGCCTGGAGGTGAGGCCCACACCTTGGGTTGAGCTCTTGGGGCCTGTGCTGTCCCTGGGCCAATCAGCTGGTGTCTCCTGGCAGGACATTATGCTGATGGGTGATTTCAACGCTGGCTGCAGCTATGTGACCCATTCCCACTGGTCGTCCATCCGTCTGCGCACAACCCCCACCTTCCAGTGGCTGATCCCCGACACCGCCGACACCACGGTCACGTCCACGCACTGCGCCTACGACAGGTGAGCAGACCTGCGCCTGTGGGTCCTGCAGGCCCGGGTAGGGAGGACACTTCCACAGGCAGCCTGGGTTTTCATCTCAGCCCGGCTTCAAAAATGGCTCCCTAGACCTCTGAGGAGACCCTCACCCTCCTGAGCTTTGGACCACTTTTGAAGTGGAATAACAAGCAGCATTCCTTAACTTTCGGAAAAGCCACGTAGGGTAATACGAAGCTAGTCTCCTCTGGGCAGTCTCAGGCACACCCAGACCTGAGCCTGGCCAGGTACACGGCTGGCCCTGGCCGAGGTGGGGCTGGGTGCCTTCCCCGAGTAGTGACACCCAGGGGCCATCGAGGCCAGATGGGAGCTGAGGTTGAAGTGCACAGAGCCGGGCAGCGGGGGACTTTCTTGTGTGTGGCACTGCAGGATTGTGGTCACCGGTACTCTGCTCCAGAATGCCATTGTTCCCGACTCAGCTGGTCCCTTTGACTTCCAAGCTGCATATGGACTGAGCAACCAGACGGTGCGTGGCCGCCATTCTCAGCCTGGAGCTCTGCTGGGGCCTAGGTCGAGGGGGCGGAGTGAGTCCGGACCCACGGGACTGGTAGCAGCCGCTGCTCTTTTCACTGACTTGAAAGGACCACTGTCCGCAGCCTGGGAGCCTCCTCCCTGGCCGATGTGACGGTGCAGGATGGGGTGCAGGTCCTGGCCCTCAGGGAGGCCTGCACAGGGCACCCCTCTGCTCACTGCATGTTTCTCACAGGCCCAGGCCATCAGTGACCACTACCCCGTGGAGGTGACGCTGAGGAGAGCCTGACACGAGCAGGCCGGGGCCCCACTGGACCTCAGCTGCTCTCGCTGGCCTGTGGCTGCTGCTGGGGACCTGCAAAGGGACTGAAGACAGCGGCTGCTGCTGCTGTCACCTTCAGGTTCTGGGGAAGGAGTTTAGGAAACCAGTGCGAGTTCCCTGAGCACAGGGCCAGCGCCCCTCTCGCCTCCCACTATTCCAGCTCGAGGAAGAGGATGGAAAAAAGGCCTTTTCTCACTGTCCTGCATCCATGTCAGCATGGGGTTGTAACTTACCCTGTCAGTATGCACACTAAGCCCAGCATTTAGATGAAGAAACATCTTTTAATTTAAGTAAATAAAGCTCAAAAAGGGGTGTTCTCATTGGTGGCATCCAGTCATTCCTTCTCGCGCTCCTCCGACGACAGAGCGCACAGTTCCACTGTCACTTCCCGGAGCCCTGACAGTGCAGGGAGGGTGTGGGCGCTCACCGCTGCCCCCCGGACAGCAGGGCCCAGACATCAGTGTCGCTCCAGGGCCTTGACCAGCAGGTTGTTCAGGCGGTCCACCATGGGTCGGGGGTCATCGACCAGCCCTGCTGCAATCATGGCGTTCTCATAGATCTGAAAGGCAGGGAGTGACCTTGTTATGGGATGGGGCCTGTCCTAGCTCCAACTCAGGGAAACTTTCATTGGAGAGAAGAAAGGAAGAGAGCTTCCCTCCTTCACACAGGGTTTTACAGGAAACGGCCGGCTGTCCAACCTCAAAGCCAGGTGCAGGCTCACAGAACGGGCAGCCCTCTGTTCTCACGCTCTCAGCCAGCCTCCAGGAGACTCACCTGATCAGCCAGCAGCTGGGCCAGGTCAGGCTCACTCTCTCTCAGCTGGCTGAGCTTCTTGATCAGCATGTGCCTGCAACAGAAACCCCCAGAAGTGAGCTCAGGGCTTCTGAGATGTTGGAGTTATTAGAACATTCAAAAAAGTGTAATAGGCCAAAGCCGGTTTGGCTCAGTGGTAGAGCGTCGGTCTGCGGACTGAAGGGTCCCAGGTTCGATTCCGGCCAAGGGCATGTACCTTGGTTGCGGGCACATCCCCAGTAGGGGGTGTGCAGGAGGCAGCTGATTGATGTTTCTAACTCTCTATCCCTCTCCCTTCCTCTCTGTAAAAAATCAATAAAATATATATTTAAAAAATAATAATAAAGTTGGATTCCCATCTGATTCTTTAGATTAAATTCCAGGAGGATCAAATGTTAAATGTAAAATATTAGAAGAAAATGGAAAAAATAATCTCAGAAGGAAAAGCCTTCCAAGCAGAATAACAAACCATAAGTCAAAAATAAAATGATATAATTCTTACAATACAAAATTTTCAATGTTTTTCTGCACAGGAAAAAAATACCATAAATATAGTGTCTGACCTTATTCATAAGAAATGTATATTAAAATTCTAATTTATTTCACTATGAGAATGGCAAAAATTGAGAAGTTTGCTAAAACTGAAGGCATTGGGGAAACATTTGTCTAACTTTTATAGAGGACAACTGGAGTCAATAAAAATTAAACATGGATGGTGCTCTGAGACTTAGCACTTCTCTTTCCTCACAGCACTATTTAAAACCAGATTTCAGACAGGAAGGGAGAGAGAGAAAGAAAAATATCAATGATGAGAGAGAATCATTGATAGGCTGCCCCTTGCTTGCCCCCTATTGGGGATTGAGCCTGCCATCTGGGCATGTGCTCTTGACTGGAATTGAACCCAGGATCCTTCAGTTCCACAGGTTGACGCTCTATCCACTAAGCCAAACCAGCTAGGGCAGAAACACTTTTAAAAAAGCAAGTGGCTCGGCTGAGCATCATCCTGTGCACCGAAAAATCACTGGTTTAATTCCTGGTCAGGGCACATGCCCAGGTTGTGGGTTCAGTTCTGGGTCAGAGTGCGTATAGGAAGTGTTCCCTTCCTCTCTCTCTAAAATCAATAAAAACATGTTTTTTAAAAAAAGAAAAAGCAAGGTGGGACCCCTGTATAGCAAGTTGTTACTTGTGTAACGGTGGAAACCACAGATAAATCTGTTTGCACACACACAGTATCTTTGAAAAGATAAATGCAAAACATAATGTGGCTGTATTGGGGTAGGAGGGAAATTTCACTGTAAACTTTCTTTTGAATTTTTAACCATGTGAACTTACTACCAATGTTAAAGGCAAATAGCATTAAAAAAAAAAAAGCTTTCTGGCAATAGAAAATACTTTTGTGCCAGAACTATAGGCACCGCATCCAGGGACTCAGCTGGAAGCCGCATTCCTTCCTGGGAGGGAGGCACTGGTGCTGCTATGGAGGTGTCTGCTAGCCACAAGCCAATGTAACATCTTTCACCCAGTAATTCCATGCCTAGTAATTTGGCTCAGAAAATGTAAAAGGCAGTTCAGCTTATTCCCCATTAGTGTACAAAAAAAAGTTTATGGTTATAAAGCAACACAGAAAAATACTTGAGAAAAATGAAAATATTAGACATGTACTATATTAAAAAAAAAAAAAAAGAGAGAGAGAGAGAGAGGAGAGAGAAGTCCAAAAGAAAATACACCAAATTGGCCACAGTGAGTTGTGGGGGATAAGACGATGAATTTTGTTTAAATTTCTTTAACATTTTTGGTGAACTATTTATGTAATTTCATTTAAAGATTATTGTATATAAAGTAAAAAACTTGTTTTCAACAGTTAAAAAATGAAATTTCAAAATATCCAATAAATGTGACACATCAAAGAATAACTACAAAAAATGTGTAGGAACTCTACAGAAAACATAAGTTACCGAAAGACATGAAATAAGACCTACCAAATACACATTATGTACATGGATGGAAAGAATGGACCATAAAGATACTAATTCTTGAAATTAATGTACATACACATGAGGACCTAGTAGCCAAGACATCTTTGAAGGAAAATAAAGGGAGTGAGCCGTCGCTTATTGGCTGCGTAGGCTTGGGAAAAGCTGAGTAGTTAAGACAGTGCGGTACCGCTACAGACAGACCAACAGGCCAGACACGTGTAGATACTTGATACTCTGTGATGCAGAAGGCAATTTGGATGGCTGGGGTGGGGGACAAAATAAATTCATGATTTTGGTGACGGATTTCTTAAGAACCAAAAAAGCACCTAATTTATGAATTTGATATTAAAATTAAGAAATTATCAAAAGACATCTTAATGCAGGTGAAAAGATAGAGTGGGAAGAGATTTGCAACTGATAAAGTATGTAATATAATTACAAATCAAATTTTAAAGAACCCAACAGGAACTATATATATAAAAAGGCTAATATGCTAAGTGTCTGACCATTCCACTGGTAGCTATGATGAGCACTGACCATCAGGGGGCAGATGCTCAATGCACAGGCATGGAAACATGGAACAGACTGATGAATCACAGGGTTGGGAGTAAGAGATTAAACAAAAATCTTTATGCATACTAGAGGCCTGGTGCTGTGCACCAGAGGGGCCCCTTGGCTTGGCCTGGCCTGTGGGGATCGGTCAGAATCCTTGCACCGGGCCTCCATCACGCCCCTAGGAGCCCCGGATTGCTGATGGGCACAGGCCAGGCCAAGAGACCCTATTAATGAGTAAAGTCTTATCCTTTCTCAGGTTGGGAGAAAGCCAAGGCTCTGCTGGGGGGAGCTGGCACCAGCCTGCTGGAAGCGGCTGGGCATGACCCAGCCTAGCTAAGCATATGGCAGTTTCACATCTGGGTGCACAACTTGGAGAAACTCACATATGCACACGTGTGTCAGACAGGGACAAGAATGTTCAGAGCAACTGTTCCCAACAGCCCCAAACAGAAACTACCCAAATGTTGGTCAAAACAGAATACATAATTGTGCTGGGGCAGATTCAACCCATGAATAGTACTCAGGTATGAAAACAAACCATAGCCCTAACCGGTTTTGCTCAGTGGCTAGAGCGTCAGCCTGCGGACTGAAAGGTCCCAGGTTCGATTCCTGTCAAGGGCATATATTATACCTTGATTGCAGGCACATCCCCAATAGGGGGCCTGCAGGAGGCAGCTGATCAATGTTTTTAATTCTCTATCCCTCTCCCTTCTTCTCTGTAAAAAAAAAAAATCAATAAAATATTTTTTTAAAAAGGCGGGAGGGGACACGGGCACACACACACACACACACACACACGAATATAGCTTCCCTCCACAGGGACAGAGGTCTCTCACACACTGAGTTAAGAAAGTAAGACTTCACATTAACAGGCAAACAGTTGGTTAAGGATGCACAGAGAGACCATAAAGCAAAGCAATTATCACAAAAGTCAGGACTATGGTTACCTGAGAGGGACAGAATTCTAATGGCATATGAGGGCCAGCAAGGTCCTTGCTTTTTTAACTTTACATGGTTAAACTGAACAGTTTATAAAGTTAAACTGAACAGTGTAATTATACAGGTACTATGTTTATAAGCTTTATGCATTTTTCCTGTGTTAGGAGTAAAAATACAATTTTAAAGGAGCAGCGGGCAGGTCAGAAAGGAGCTCGCTGTTCCTGGGCACCGAGGGCCGAGCAGCGGCGCCTCACCTGGGGTTGATCTCCAGGGTGGGCTGCAGGAGCTGAGCGCGCTCCTCCTGGGTCTTGGCCAGCTGCTGCATGCGCAGGAAGTGCCGGGCGGCCCCCATCTCCAGCACGGTGATCATGGCGGGGTGGGTGTCCAGGCGAAGAGTCACCTGTCAGCAGGGACAGGGTGAGGGGGGCCCTGGGCTGGCGGTTTGGCCAGGTGTGAAGCTTCCCCAGATGACAAGGCAGAACACAGGTCTCCAGGGATGAACCTCAGACCTCCCTCCCAGCCATCCACTGACGAGAAGGGAGCCTGACCTGCAGCCCAAGCTCCTAACAGCATCCCACTTGGGGGATCCCTCTTCTATCCCCCAAAGTGTCAATTCCTGCCCAACATCCATCTCACCCGGTGTCCTCTGCACCTCTCCCCTCCACAGTCATTGCCAGGTCCTATAGCAACTAAGATCACCTACGCCGGCTGCTCCATCTCCCCGCCCAGCCTGTCCGCAGTCCCTTCCCTCACTCCCGTCCTTCCAACTCTGAAGCCTCCTTCCTGCAGACCTCACTCTCACCCACTCCTGTCTGTGGCCTCCCCTGGCCTGACGTCATCAAATACATCTTTCCCAACAAGCGGTCACAAGCCCCTCCCTGGCCAGGCCTTCCCCTTCGCCCACCCTCCAGCCTCTGGCTCTCACCGGAGCCTCTGAGCCTGCTGGGCCCACAGCATTCCCTTCCGGGAGCACGGTGCTGAGAACCTGAGCTCTAACTCAAATCCAGCTCCATGACAGCCGAGCTGTATGACCTGGGGATGTGCTTTGCCTCCTGTCCTTCACAGGATGAGGATAGTTCTACCTGCCTCATAGTTATCTGAGGCTTAAATGAGTCCCTAAAGGATGGACACAGTGAACGTTACACAGAGAAATCCCGGCTGCATGCCTTGCTTCTCGATGCTCCCTGCTAACAGCCCCTCCTCTTTCAATCTGTGCCCATCCCTCCCCCGCAGAGTCCTGCTACCACCTCCTCCAGAGCCACATGAGCCCACCCCCCTGCTCTTTACCGTCCCCACCCTGCACACCTGCCTGTCCCTTGGGGCGACTCCTGGACGAACCTGAGCCAGTGACCTGGACACCTGTTCCCTGAAGTCAGAACCCCAGCAGGACTGTAAGCTCCCCAAGGGCTGGACTGGAACCCCTTGTGTCCTACGTAGCTACCACAGGTCCTTGGGGTCTAGCACTGGGGTGGCCAGCTGGAAGCCCTCTTCTCGGCTTCTACTCGCCCACCAGGCCACTGGCCGTTCACCTTTCACTTCCTACTTTTCAGTCCCCACCTGCGCTACAAAGTGGAGGAAACAAGTCAGCTGAGCTTGCCTGTCCTGCCCCAGCAACGCCCCTGGACACACGTGGCTGCACACAGGTGAGCTCATACGCAGAAGCGGCAGTGACACGTCACAGCTTCAGTCGCCACTGGGAGGACGCCCCCAGGCCAGCACTTAGAGCAGGCAGGCTGCCAGGGGTGTGGGCAGTGGAGCCACGGGAGCCGAGCGTGGCCTGACCCAGCCCTCACCTTCACGTTGGTGACACGCGACCCCAGCACATTTCTCATCCAGGCCATCAGGTCCTCCGCCTCCTTCTCTGACAGGCGGTCATCAGCTTGAGGAGAGATGTGAGTGAGCTCAGAGGCCGTTCCCTTTATCCCCTTCCCACTCCCATGGGGCCTGAAATGTCGCCATTCCAATGCCAAGTGTCCGACTGCCCCACCACCCTGGTCGTTGGCACAAAGAAGCCACCAGAGACGCTGTCACCTAAAACCCAGTGGGCACAGCTGAACCTCAGGAGGACAGTTTTGGATGTCCTGAGGCCCCTGTGGCTTCGTTACAGCGTTAAGAAGATATTTTTGGATTCTCTGAGGAAATCAACTGGAAGAGGCACTGGAGGGACCTGGGAGTAAAGGGGAACATTTTCTGTTAAACATTAAGGTGTTCCCAAGCTGCTGCCTTTGTGCAGGTCAGTGACCCCAGACAGACAGAACAGAAACCCCTATAAACTCACGTGCAGGACAGAAGAGGCCCTGAACAGACGTCAGCCCCGGGGCCATCCCAGCCTCACCTGCACCCAGGCCACCACCCACCTCTGCCGAGAGAGAAAGGATAGGACCAACCTGGAGATTTGTCTTCAAACTTCTCCTCCTTGTAGTGATCAACAACGATGTCCGTTTCCACGGAGATGAGCTTCTTCTTGTCAAACTCACGGAGGTGAAGCAAGGTCAGCTCATCGAACTGCTCGTAGCAGAAGAGAACCTGCGAGGCCGAGGACATCTCCATCAGGCTGGAGGGACTCCGCCCACAGAGCGAGGGCATGGGAGTGAGGGCTGCAGGCTGGCCCGGGCCTGGCACAGCCACGCGGGTGCTGCTGGGGTGCCCTGGGCCTTTGCAGATGAGGCGGATTGCCAGAGGCTGGGAAGGGAGGCTCTGGCTGCCTTAGTAGTAGCAACAGTGATTCTGCTTACAGAGAAATCCCCGTGTCACCTCCTACAGGGACACACAAACTAGATGGCAGCTTCCGCCTGGGCCTCTGTGCCCCTGGACGTGTGGCTTTCCCAGATGCTGGCCACGTTCACTCATTTTCCCTAACCAGAGACCCCACCCCACCCCACCCCACCTTATCCCCTGACCTGGCCCCAGCAGCTTGTGGGGATGCAGCCTGCCTTGGTGCTCACCCACCTCCATGTTTTTCTGCTTCATGGCCTCATAGTAGGGTGAGTGCTCAGCCAGGTGCCGGTTGGGGGTGCACAGGTAGTAGATGTTGCGGGTGCCGGCCTGCATGCGACTGGCATAGTCCATGAGGCTGGTCAGCTGCCCAGCGGGCAGTGCTGAGGACTCATATCGCAACAGCTTTGCAATATCCTCCTGAAAACAGACAAGAGCAGGTCACTGCTCGCTCCACATGCTCCCTCAGGAAGCCTCCAGAGCATCTGGGCACGGACATGGGAAACCTTGGGCTACAGGGGGATGTCTGCCGCTGCACCCCCGGCAAATGGGCTCCGATGTTCTGCAGCTGGGGCAGCGCCCACAGAAGCCTGGCCCAGGGAGGGCACCTAGCAGGTCTGGTAGTCCCCACATCAAAAGTTCAGGAACATCCGGGTGCCCCCTCCAAAAAAAAAAAAAAAAAAAAAAAAAAAAAAGTTCAGGAACCTCAGGGCATCTCCCACCTCAGGTGGCACAGGGCCTCACAGAGAGGGGCTTTTTGGGCAAGCTGTGTGCACCCCAGGAGTGGCCAGACCGTCCCCATGGCGGAGACTGCTCCTGGTGGCGGGGTTTGATCGGGGCACACCCAGGCTGCGGGTTTAATCACTGGTTGGGCTTGTACAGGAGGCAACTGATCAATGTTTCGCACACTGATGTTTCTCTCGTTCTCCTCCTTTCCTTTCTCTCTCAGATCAATAAAAACATATCCTCAGGTAAAGATTTTTTTTTTTTTTTTAAAAAGGCCAAAATATATTTATTAAGAATCATATCAGATATGAAGTAGTGCTGCACGGTGAGTGAACTGAAGCTCCAGCAGCACCATGTTAAAGGCGCTCCACCCCTCACGTGATGGACACGCCCTGACTGGGCACAGCGTCCCGCCTTCCCCGTCCTGGGGAGCCAGAGCCGGGCCCTGCCCGGGCCTCTGTGACCTGAGCCCCTGAGCGAAGCCTGAGGAAGGAGACCACACACCTCCCTCCTTCCAGCTTAGGAGAGGACGGAGGGAGATGACCTAGCCCCACAGGACCAGGGGGACACTGAGCAGCTGCACTTACTGGCTCCGGCAGCAGTAGCTGGGGAGCCCAGACATGCCAGTGTCATGTCCCGGGAAGCTCAGGTTTCTGGCCTCCACCCGCTTCCTCCACAGCCCAAAGCAGCAGAGAGAAAGGCCCAGAAACCTGAACCCTTACCTTATTATTATTTTTTTTTAATTTCTTTCTTTATTGACTTCAGAGAGGAAGGGAGAGAGAGAAACATCAATGATGAGAGAGAATCATTGACTGGCTGCCTCCCGCACGCTCCCCACTGGGGATGGAGCCCGCCACCCGGGCATGTGCCCTTGGCCGGAGACGAGCCTGGGACCCTTCAGTCTGCAGGCCGACGCTCCATCCACTGAGCCACACTGGCCAGGGCTGGACCCTTACCTTGACCTCCTGCTCAGCGGTGGTCACAATGCCCTCTCTCATGAACAAGCCATAATCTTCAAAAAACTTAGCGTATGTCTCAGGGTCTTTTTTACTCTGGTCAACGAAGAATTTTATCAGCCTCTGTTGTAGGACGTCCCGGAGTTTCCTACAGACAGAAATGAATTTATCACGAACAAGCAACTTCTATGAAATACTAACAGCCAGAGGTATAGGAAAATGTTCTGCTCCACCAATAATCAAATTAGTGAAAACAACATACCATTCTGGCCAAATTTTACAAAACAGAAAAAGAAAGGGTGTCCCTTGGTAAACACCAGGTGGGAAGACATGCGCCCCTAGAGGCAGAAACGTGGACTGACAGCCCTTTGTGAGGGCAGCAAACAGTGCCCAACCTTGATGGTTCCAACTGTATAGACCTCTCCCTGGAAATATAACGAGCCACCAAGACTTACTGAGCAGGAGTGTCACTGTAGCACATAAAAGACAAAACAATTATGAACAACCTCAGTAGTCAACAAGAGAATAGACTGAAATGAAAGGTAAGTGCACTCATTAAAAATCTTGCCCTAGCTGGTTTGGCATCGGCCTGCAGACCATCCCCAATAGGGGGTATGCAAGAGGCAGCTGATCGATGTTTCTAACTCTATCCCTCTCTCTTCCTCTCTGTAAAAAAAAACAACAAAAAAACAAAAAAAACAATAAAATATATATATTTTTAAAAATCACCTCCTGCCCTAGCTGTTTTGGCTCAGTGGATAGAGTGTTGGCCTTCAGCCTTAAGGATTCCAGGGTTCGATTCCAGTCAAGGGCATGCACCTTGGTTGCAGGCTCAGTCCCTGGCCCTGGCTGGAGCATGTACGGGAGATAAGCAATCGATGTGATTCACAATGATGTTTCTCTCTTTCTCTCCCTCTCCTTCCACTCTCTCTAAAAATCAATGGGAAAATATACTTGAGTGAGGATTAACAACAGCAACAAAATCACATCCTAACCCTGGCAGGTGTGCTCGGTTGGCTGGGTGTGTCCCATGCATTAAAAGGTTTCAGGCTCAATCCCCAGTGAAGGGCGTGCAGGAGGGAGTCAATCAATGATTCTCTCTCAACATAGATGTTTCTATCAATCTCCCTTCCTCTCTCTAAAATCAATTTTAAAAAATTCTAATATGGGTAAATTACACTATAATATATATACATGTGTATAATAAAACTATACTACTTTCTGTACAGTAATTGTAGTTTGCATAATTAGGGTTCATATATATATATATATATATATATATATATATATATATACACACACACACACACACACATATCTTCATACAATATGCACACTACAATATGGACTATATAACGATATACTATGTGCACACTACAATATTATAAAATTGGGATTTTGTGAAACAGTGTGAACTACAACATTATTTAATGGCATAAAATTATGAGCAACTTGGGATCCTTTCCCAATGAATATATACTTCAAATCACCATGACTTACACTTTAAACATCTTAGAATTTTATATGTCAATTACACCTCTTATAAAGTTAAAATTTTTAAATGTTAGTAAACAATTATATTTAATGTAAAAATTAAAAATAACCATTTAATTTTTTTTTTAAATTATAAGCTATTTATTAGTGGAGTTAGGGATATTTTTATTTCCTTAATATTTTGCCTTTCCTTTAAAAAAAGTGAAATAACCATGTATTTCTTTAATAATCCAGGCTAGGGGAGCAGTAATTTTTATTTAAGCTTTTCCTCTTCACTCCGTGTCCTGAATGAGTGTGTTCTTCAGACAAAGGTGGCATGAGGCCGGGCAGCACCCGGGCCTGTGGCAGGGGAGCCACAGCAGCTGGGACAGGGAGAGCCCCAGGAGGGTGTCCCCACGGGGTGTGATTGGGGGGGGGAGCCTGGCATGGAGCGTCCAGGCCCAAGGACCCCAGAGAGGGTGTCCAGCCTGGCGGTAGTGGGCAGCTCCCTGTGTGAGTCAGAGCCCAAGTGGGCACAGCCCATGTCAGGGGACGGCATGGTGATGGCACCAGGAGGGGGCCTGCCAAAGGCAACACAGGAGGAAAATGAGGCAGATTCTCGTTGGCTCGGAGCGAACAGGGAAGTCCCGGCGTGTGGGTGGACTCAGCAGATACAGAAACAAGGACGGAGGCAGATGACACACACACACACACACAGGCTCTCACTGCTCGCTCTGGGCTGAGAGGCCGGGGAGAGGTGACTGCCCAACAGCAACGGCAGCCCTAGTGCCCAGATCTTGGCTTAATACCACTCTCCATTCAAACAAATCCAGCTCCTTGCAGGAATGAGCGATTCCAGGGCCAGGAAATGATGGAGGCAAAACACAAGGTGAGCCCGAGACATCCCGTGCCAGGAGCGAGGACGTGCTCAAGGGCCAGCAGTCGGCCTGCGTGGGCTCCTGCTGGCTAACCTGGGGACCGTTTGGGCATCAAAATAAATAATGACACTAAGAAGTTATAACCCACCAAGTAAAATAGGAATCAGCTCATACAAATAATTATGGATATTAAAACATAAAAGCAATAAATAGATTGAAAATTTCATGAAGCAATTTAACTAGCTTGCGAAAGTTAACTATTAACTTCCTGCATGTTCACTGACTATATATATGGTAGTACTATCATGCCATCTGTTTTCATTATGCCCAAATTCCCCCAATTCTCAAGGGTCTCCAGAAACATAATCTTGAGCCATAAAATAAGACAAAGCTTCTGAGCTAATCCCAGCCTTTCACAGAGCTGCAGACACCACTCTGTAGTGTGATGTATCAGTGCCAACAAGAGGACCTTCGCACAGAGAAGGCTGGCACACGCCCCTCATGTCAACCTGCGAATCGCCAGGAACAGGACAAATCAAAGGCGGCCCAGCTGACAGGACGCAGCCATTCTGTGCTGGTGCCGCATCCACAACCCACACGAGGGCAGTCCTCAAAGCCAGGCCTGAACCTTCACAGCACCCTGCTCACAAAGGGCAGGGGAAGCCTGGAGGAGGCTGGAGACAACTAAGGCCCGTTCGACTCACTGCACCTCCACCGGCGGCACACGTGGTGCGACGGCACCAGTGAACGGGTCCGGGGTTAGCCGGCGGTGGGGCCCCATCAGTCAGCTCCCTGACGGAGGCTGCCCTGCAGCCGGGGGAGAATGCCTTGTCCATCAGAAATACTCCCCAAGATATCTGGGGAGGATGGGCACCGGGTGGACACCTTACTCCCAAAGGGCACGGGAGAAAATGTCCTCTGAATCATGTTTCCACCTCTTCCGTATGTGCATCTTCTTTCAAACACATCATTCAAGCCTGACTCGTTTCTTTTTTTTTCTTTTTTTTTTTAATATATTTTATTGATTTTATACAGAGAGGAAGGGAGAGAGATAGAGAGTTAGAAACATCGATGAGAGAGAGTCATCGATCAGCTGCCTCTTGCACACCTCCTACTGGGGATATGCCCGCAACCAAGGTACATGCCCTTGACCGGAATCGAACCCGGGACCCTTCAGTCCCCAAGCCGACGCTCTTATCCATTGAGCCAAACCGGTCCCAGCCTGACTCGTTTCTTATCAACATGAGCTCCAGACTGAAAGCTAGCCCTTGAGAACCACAACAGCAACCGAGTTGCTGGCACACCCTACCTGAGCCGCAGGGCAGCCCAGCTCCGCTGCTGGGAACAGAGCGTATGCCTGCGGTCAGCCCGGTGTGCCAGGCTCTCTGTGATCGCTGAGCTCTCTCCGCACCTCGGTTTCCGCAGTTCTGGGTGAGAATGAACACTCAGCAACAGGAGCTATTGCTGCTATCGGGATGGGGACACGAGAACCCGGCTCCTCAGCCCATGGGATTCCAAGAGCAACGTGTCCAAAAGAGGGTCTGGTCCAGGGTGGCCCTCGCCTTCTTCACATCAGTGACCTCTGGGACCAAGATCAGGGGATCTCCTGGCTCTGTCGCTGTCCTTAGCCTCATCCACACCAGCCTACCTGGACTCTCCCGCTGTGGCCACCCGGCTTGGCTAATGGAGTCTGGCTAAGGGAGGGGACATGTCCCAGCACAGCTATAATTTTCCTCAATGCGTAATCCCCCCACCCTTTTTATAAAAATGTGAAGCAAAGCATCAGGCAAAGCACACATGATCCGCACACATTCTGCAGGCACACGGCCCCTCAGAGCCAGTGAGGCCCTCAGCAGGTGCCTGCCCTGGAGGCTTACCTGATCAGAGCACTTTCCTGGAGGAGCTCCCGGCTGAGGTTCAGGGGAATGTCCTCACTGTCCACCACACCTTGGAGAGACACAGGCACATCAGGACCCTGGCGGTGCCCGAGACTCTGCCCCAACCTCCCGAAGGGCCACTGGCTTCCCACCAGACCTCACATTCTCCTTCGAAGCCCACAGGACTCAGGCTACATGACGGCAAGTGAGGCAGGAAAGACAAAGGCAGGAGACTCGGTGGGGCACCACCACCCCAGCCCCTGCAAGTCCTGACGTCCCGGAACTGATGCAGAAGCCTCGGCCAGGACCATGTGACCGGGAGAAAAGCAGGCAAGGCTGCGAGCCTTTGCCAGTGAAGTTCCTAACATTTCAGTATCACTTTGACACTTTGAAAACCACTTCTGGATTTTACTTTTAAAGTCATAAATATGTCGTGGTATTTTGCATCTTTTTAAGCTATGATGAATACAAAGGTTTATATACTGAGTTTTTTTTTTTTTTTTTTATTAAACTATAACCTATTTAAATGCAAGGCAGTTCATGTCTAAATCTAAAACTCATATAATATCTTTAAACACTAATATAGCTCAAGCCCAGCCGGTTTTGCTCAGTGGATAGAGCGTCGGCCTGTGGATTAGAGGGTCCTGGGTTCGATTCTTATCAACGACATGTATCTCAACTGTAGGCTCCTCCCAGGCTTAGGTCCTGGTTGGGGCTCCTGCAGGAGGCAACAAATCGATATATTTCTCTCTGTCCTTCTCTCTCTCTTCCACTCGCTCTAAAAATCAATTAAAAATATCCTCGGGTGAGAAGTACAAAATAAATAACTCAATTTAAACGGCCATCTGCCCCATTCCCCCAAATCAACCAAGACTAGTGTCTGGAGGCAGTCAGCTTGCTGAGGCTCAGTGAGCACGCCCATCTGCTCGCCCAGCCACGGCTGAGTGCTGCCCTGACACCTCACTCGTTAAGGATGAGCTCCTTCTGCCCAGCGCTCAGTGGTTGAGCGTTGACCTATGAACCAGGAGGTCATGTTTGATTCCTGATTGGGGCACCTGCCCAACTTGCGGGCTCAATCCCCAGTAGGGGGTGTACAGGAGGCAACCAATCAATGATTCTCATCATTGATGTTTCTCTCTCTCTCACGCCCTCCTTCTCTGAAATCAATAAAAAATATTTATTTTTTTAAAAAGATGAGCTCCTTCTAATGCAGTCAGCACCATGGGCCATAGGCAGGGAGCCGCCCCTGTCCCAGGGCGCCACCCCATACCTCGAATGAAACGCAGCCACTTGGGCAGGATGTCAGAGGCCTTGGTCTGGATGAGGACTTTGCGGCTGTACAAAGAGACGCTGGAACTCAGCTCCCGGCTCACATCAAACATGGATGGTTTCTGTGGGCGAGGAGAAAGGGCAGTGTCAGCTGCACACGGGGGAGCCCTGAGGACGACCCTGTGAAGCACCCTGCCCAACTGGGTCTGGACTGGGAGCTGTGGGAGGACAGGCAGTGATCCGGAAGCAGACACAGGCCAGGAGACCGCCCACATCCTACTGTTCAGAATTCCATGCCCAGGGAGGACCCCCCACAACAGTTCTCAGGGGCCTTCTCTGGGCAGCCGTTGCCTTCCCCAATCTGCTCTCCCTGGAGGTATTACAAAAGGGACTCATTAGTATGTCCTGGGAACAGAACCAAACCTGCTAGGGATTAGGGGTCAGCAAACTATAGGCCATAGACCAAATCTGGCTCATCACCTGGTTTGTGTAGCATGGGATGGCTTTTTCGTTTTTAAATGGTTGGGGGGCGGGGGCACGGGGACAAGAAACGACTACTTCATGGAATGTGAAAGATACAGGAAAAATAAATCCCGGACACGACTCTAACCCTGAGGTGCAGGCGTGGTGCTTTCGTGCAGTGGCAGAGCGTGTAGCTGTGCATGACCTGCAAAGCCCAATAAGGCAGGCTGGCCCTCCACAGGAGCGTCTGTCAGGCCTGCTCTCCCCCCAGTGCTTCGGAACCTGCAGTTTGCACGCACTTCACATCGGATCTTATAAAAGGGAGACTGATTCTGGTGTCTAGGAGAACCAGGGATCCTGCATGAGCAACACGTCCCAGGCAATGCTGTGCAGCGGGGCTACAAGGACACTCGGTGATGAGGTCGAGAGCAGCTCTTTCCAAAGTGGGTACCAGGGCTCCAGGCAAACGAAGCCAGGAGAGGCTGGTCCAGCCCCGGAGCTGGCTTCTCTGTGGCAGGCTTTGTCAGAGACCTTGCCACGCTACTTTGTGAGTCAGGAAGTCTTAGGGGTGAAACAGAAGGATGGAGAATGTACAACTGACGTGCGCCCCGCAGAATCCACACACACACACACACACACACACACACACACACCCCGCCGAGCTCGGGGACGTGCTGCCCAGAGCGAGAGGAAGCCTGCAGGTTGCTCCAAGGGCCGTCCCTGCAGACACCCCGTTTATAAAACCCACCCCCAAAACGCCGGGTAAAACAGTCCCTCACTTTACAACTCTGCTCACCCGCCCAGAGGCACAGGCTTTTCTTTGACTCTGGCTGCCAGCTAAGTCTGGGGGAATGCCACAGTTCAGGAAGTGCTGGGCGATGCCCGCTCAGGGAGCCGTGGGCCCGCCCGCAGCCCGGCGGCTGAGCTCACCAGCTCCGGCACGTAGAAGATGCTGCGGATGTTGAGGGGGGCGTCCGTCTTGTAGTGCAGAGTGTAGCGGGGCTTGTCGTGGGCCTGCGCGATGTAGCGATAGAATTCCTCGTGCCGCCGCTGGCCCACGTCCTTGGGGTCCATCATCCAGATGGCCTGGAATGGACACCACCGAACGTTAGGGTTAAGACGCTTCCTCACAACCACACCGAGCTGAGCTGGGGAGCTGCGGCATCTGGTGCTAGTGAGCTCCCTCAGGATGACATGAGGACCGGCCTGTGGGACAGACCAAGCCCCTCCCTCTGCCTCTGGCCCCCCTGCTCTAGCACTGAGGGAAGGGGTGCTCCAATGGTGGGCAAGAGGGTCCACAAAGAGAGACACACACAAAGGCTCAGAGAACAAGTCCCCCTCCCAAGCAGTGTGTCCCGAAGGCCAGCCAGGAGGCAGGATCTGGACGTGCCCACACATCAGGAATATTTGACATCAACCGGCAAGTGGTGAATAGTCTAGCTCAGTGGTCGGCAAACCCATTAGTCAACAGAGCCAAATATCAACAGTACAGCCATTGAAATTTCTCCTGAGAGCCAAATTTTTTTAAACTTAAACTTCTTCTAATGCCACTTCTTCAAAATAGACTCGCCCAGGCTGTGGTGTTTTGTGGAAGAGCCACTGTTTGCCAACCACGGGTCTAGCCAAACGATGGGAGATTACTCAGCCAAAAAGGACAGCACAGGTGAACCTTGAACACATTGTGATGGGAGGCCAGACACAAAGGCCACATCACTGGTTCCATTTATATGAAATGTCCGGAACAGGCAAGTCCAGAGACAGAAAGTAGATTGTGGTTGCCAGAGACTGGGGGTAGGTGGGGAGTGACTGCTAATGGGCACAGGGTCTTCTCTGAGGGATGAAATGTTCTAGAATTGGCTGCATGGCTCTGAATACACCAGGAACCACGGCCCCGCGCTCTTAGTGTGGTGTGCGCGTTACAGAAGGTGCACAGGGATGGGGGGGTCTCGTTTGCATCATGGATCTCACCTCTCCACAAAGAACACCTTGTCCTGGGATTCTGACATCATCCAATCCTACTCTGCCCATCTAGCCCCCAAATGTACCAATGGCCTCCACAGCTGCCTGAGCTCTTCAGGCGAGAGGGTCTCACCTGCAAGGTATTGATGCGCTTTCCGTTAAGGTACAAGGGGAAACTGACAAAGTTACTGTATTTTGTCACCACATCTGGAAGAGACAAAGAAAAAACAGTGATACAGGAAGCTTCTAGAAATAAAAGCTCTGGAGGTCGCTGCAGGGGTCACTCGGCAGGCTGGGGGCTGTGCCCGTGCACAGGTGGGAAGCCAGGACACAGCGGGACACATCCTGCCCGCAGAGCTGAGCAGGACTCACACCGGAACCAGATGCCTCAGGGTCCAGGCCGCCAGGAGACCAGGCCGCCTCTAGGTCACGTGGATGCGGTTTTATAAGCTGGCAGTGGACCCTGGGAAGCACGAGGCACCTTCGATAACATTTAGTAAGACGTGGACAGAGAAACCACACCCAGCAGCACCCCCTCAGGTTCTCAGTGAAGCCTGGGCTCAGGCCCACAGGCCAGCGATGGCGACAACACAGGGAGTGATGCAAAGACTGTGCATACCTCCACGTGACCGAGTCCCACACTGCCCGGAGGGAGGGGAGGAGGGAGAGCCCGGAGCCTGTCCTCAGAGTCTGTCCTCAGAGTCTGTCCTCGAGGCCCAGGCCGCCATGCCCAGAAACACCCCTGCCGCTAGCTCTGCAGTGCTCCCTGCACATTCCCACCCGGACAGGATCTCCGAAAACACGCCAGCAGGAGGTGTCGCGCTGACTGGTGCTGAGGCCCACATGTCCAGAGGCCTAGGCTCCCGCTCACCTCGAACCCGGGCCTCGCTGGCAAACTCTCTGCAGTCTGACTTGAGATGGATGATGATTTTGGTTCCAGTTCTAACTCCTGAAGCTTCGGCGATTTCAAAGACCCCGGAGCTAAGACACAGGAGGGAGACAGCCAGTTCCCATGTTACTAACAACAAGTCCCACCGCAGGGCAGTGACGGCCCTGAGTTTTCACAGCAGAGCCCAAGCTGACACACAGAAGGGAAGCCAGAGGCCGCCTTTTATTACCCAGCTGGGCCCCTTTCTGTTGGGGGCAGGGGCTGCTGCAGGGCGGGATGGTCTCAGGGGCACAACCTCTCAGCTTTATGTCCACCTGAGCGGCCGGGGCGCTGTGCCAGGCACCGGGAGCAATCAGAGGCCTGGAGACCGCCCCCAACTCCCTTGTTAAGGGCAGTTCTGAGCCTCTAGCAGAAGCCAGGGGTCTCCTGAAGAGCAGAGAAACTGTTTTAGGAGAAAAAGAGGGATGAACCCCCAACAAGTTGATACCTTGGCCCAGGTGTACTCTGAGCACAGCTTTCATTGAATAAAACAGAAATCTTAATTCTGACAGGGCGATGAGCAGTGCTCTGGCGTGAGATACTGAAACCACAGCGGGGATGAAGACTCGGTGGGGAAACGGGATCGGAGGAAGTCTGGGGCCTGCTGAAACAAGTGCTCCATTTGGCTAAGGTACCGTCTTCCTCAAACACTGCCTCTAGTCTTGGAACATGCACTTAACTGACCTGTAAGACACGATCCCAGTGCATGCCGGGGAGCAAAACTAGCATCGGAGGGGAAACCGGAGCCTGTGCTGGCGGGAAGCAGGGCCAGGCCCGTGGGTCAAACTTAGAAGTTCCAGGGTTGGGAGGACTCAAAAATGACTCCCACGGACAATGTCCAGGGACGCCGCCCAGGGCCAGGGGCTCCGGGAGAATGGCCAAACCACGACCAAGGAGCTTCGCCTGGACAGTCTACACTCCACAACACAGTCATGGAGCCCAGACAGACACCAGGGGCACTGGGTCAGCAAGGAGCTGGCTCCCGAAGCAGGAGGGTCAGCTCCCTGCCAAAAGCCGGAAAGGCCCGCAGGCGTTTCCTGGGCGGGTCTAGCTTCCCAAGGGAGTGACACGCTGCCGCTGAGCTCAGTGACACTGGGCTGCGGTGGTCCAGGCAGGGGCCCTCCTTGTGTCTGACCGGGGACGCTGCTGTCACTTACCCGTCGGAAAGCCACTGGTATCCCGGGCTGTCCGGGCTGGCTGAGCGGGAATAGACCTCCACTCTGTCGGCCACCATGAAAGCCGAGTAGAAGCCCACTCCAAACTGGCCGATGATCTTGCTGCTGGCCTCCGCCTGGTTCTGCAGCGCGTCCAGAAAGGCCTGCGGCGGCAAAGATGGGTCAGAGGGAGGGCTCCATTCCCAAGAGAGCACGGACGTTTGCGACTCCCTGTGTGCATCCCTCTAACAAAGGCTAAGATACCATTTAGTCCTCCATCAAACACATCCACAACTTTTCACCCAGTTTACACAGAGAGCAATGCCATGGAGCGGGAGAGTGATTGCCCAAGACCCCAAGCTGGGCAGCACAGGGACCGGTTCTGTATCTGCTTCCGAGGGCTTGTACTCTGCCTGTGGGCTGGAGGCCTGGGGGCCACACGGCCCGGGGTGAGGAAGCGGCAGGGGGCGCGCACACACCCTCCTGCAGGAAAGGGGCAAGTGGCAGCTTCTGAGGACAGCCCCTGCGGTTCAGTAGGTGAAGGGGTGTGGCACGCATGCCCAGATGTGTTTTCTGCATGTCTCCTGGATTCCACGCTTCATGGGGAAACAGTACAGACCAAGTACATGCTTTGTACGTACCACTTAATTATTATAACTCAAGTTAACAAATTTCCTAAGATTAAAAATCAAGCAAAATGGCCGAAACCAATTTGGCTCAGTGGTAGAGCATCGGTCTGCAGACTGAAAGGTCCCAGGTTCGATTCCGGTCAAGGGCATGTGCATGGGTTGCGGGTACATCCCCGGTAGGGGGTGTGCAAGAGGTGGCTGGTTGATGTTTCTCATCGACATTTCTGGCTCTCTATCTCTCTCCCTTCCTCCTCTCTGTAAAATATCAATAAAATATATTTTTAAAAAAATAAATAAAAATCAAGCAAAATGAATACATGCATTGCTATGAATACTGTCCAACTGAACTTTCTGTGATGATGTAAATGTTTTATATGGTCCAATATGGTAGCTACTGACCTCATTTGACTAGTGCAACTGAGAAACTAAATTTTAAATTGCACTTAACTTTAATTTCAATCCAAATGGCCACAGGTAGCTAGTGAGATAGCACAGACTTCCCTTGATAGAAATACAATACATGTAATGGGGGAGCAGGTTATAATACAGAAGTTTTTTAAAAGTGGAAATTTCTGCCCTGCTGGTGTGGCTCAGTGGCTGAGCGTCAACCTATCAACCAGGAGGTCAGGGTTCGATTCCCGGTCAGGACACAGGCCCAGGTTGCGAGATTGATCCTCAGTGTGTGGTGTGCAGGAAATAGCCGATGTATGACTCTCTCAATATTGATGCTTTCCTCTCTAAAATCAATAAAATGTATATTTTTAAAGTGGAAATTCTGTAAATTACTTTGGACCAATAAGTAGACTATTTTCAAGCACTTGGCACAAAATGCCATTTTAGGCACCACAAAGGCCCACAAGGCAAGCCAGGAGAAGCACCAGGCAGCCGAGGGCTGGCACAGATGCCGCTGGAGGAGGGCTCCTCGACCCATGACACTGCCTCCCTCGTGGGCTTCAAGTTGCACAGCAACCAACCAACCACCCAGGGGCACCGTCTCCACAAAGGGCTCTGCCGGCCCATCCTGCCCACAGACGCTGCAGGCAAATTGATTCTTGTGCCCCTTGTCTGAGAGGAGGAGTACTTACTTCTGCCTGCCCTGTCTGCCTCCAGCCTAAGCAGCTCGAGTAACCTCTGAGAAGTGAGTTAGAGAAAAGCTTCAGGAGGCAGAATGGCACATTCCAGACTCAGACCAACAGGCTCTGAACCTTGGGCCGGTCGATTCTCAACTACGCAAAAGTACTTATTTCAGCCTTTCCATCTATAAAGTGATAGTAACTTCCTCAGCTGTCCCCCTGACCACACAGTGAAGTCATGGGCATGGTGGCTCCACAGCGCCAGCACGGAGCTCACACCAGAGGACCCTCCCGCTGAGGCTGGCGTTCAGAGCGAGCTGGCACCCTCCTCCAGGGGGAGCCGCCTTTCAAAGAGAGGAAGGGCACTGAGGGGCTTACCTTTGACCCCGACTTGGCGATTGTTCCCAGGTTGGACACCAACTCTTCCTGTGTCATCCCAATGCCAGTGTCCTAAGAGAGAGACACGCTAAGCACCAAAGTGCCGGCACAGCCCTGAGTCGTAAGTGGCATCAATTACACTTGCCAGGCAGGGCCCAGCAAATGGCACATGGTCATCAGAAAAGACAAATTCTACTCATCATTTCAGCCATACCTCAGGAAAAACCTCCCTAGAAAACAGACACACAGACCAAAGAGAAAACCGAACCAAAAATAGAAATGCACAGAATGTCACTTGGTTTTCAACAAAGGTTCCAAGATAATTTGATGGAGAAATGAAAAACAAATGGTGCTAAAACATTACATGGCCACATGCAAAACATTAATCTCAACCCTGACCTTACTTACATTGTACACAAAAATGGATCACAGACCCCAATGTAAGAGCTCAGATTGTAATACTTTTAGAGGAAAATATAGGAGAATATCTTTATAACTTTGGAATAGGTAGACATTTCTGAGGTCACTAAAAGCATGAAAGAAAAAAGTGATACACTGGATTCATTAAAATTAAAAATGTCTGCTTTTCAAAAATAGTATTATAGCCAAAAACGGTTTGGCTCAGTGGATAGATCATCGGTCTGTGGACTAAAAGGTCCCAGGTTTGATTCCAATCAAGGGCATGTACCTTGGTTGCAGGAACATCCCCAGTAGGGGGTGAGCAGGAGGCAGCTGATCGATGTTTCTCTCTCATCGATGTTTCTAGCTCTCTATCCCTCTCCCTTCCTCTCTGTAAAAAATTAATAAAATATATTAAAAAAATAATAAATAAATAAAAATAGTATTACAGCCCAGCCAGTTGTGGCTCAGCCATTGAGTGTCAACCCAGGAATCAAAAGGTCACTGGTTCGATTCCCAGTCAGGGCATATGCCCAGGTTGCGGGCTCAATCCCTAGTGAGGAGTGTGCGGGAGGCAGCCAATAAATGATTCTTTCTCTTCATTGATGTTTCTATCTCTCTTTTCCTCTTCCTTTCTCTCTGAAATCAATAAAAATATATTTTTAAAAAATATTATTACAGAATATAGGTATATGGGAAAACATGCATTACAAATGAATAAGAACAATTGAGGCCCTGGCCAGTATGGCTCAGTTAGTTAGAGCATCATCCCATGTACCAAAGGGTCTTGAGTTCGATTCCCTGTCAGGGCACATATCCAGGTTGCAGGTTCAATACCTGGTCAGGGCACATACGAGAGGCAACTAATCAATGTTTCTGTTTCATGTCAATGTTTCTTTTTCTCTCCCTCCCTCTCTCTTCCTCTCTCTCTCTCAACCTGGAATCAGTGAAAAATGTATCCTCATGGGAGGATTTAAAAAAAACAACAACAGCCCTGACCAGTTTGGCTCAGTGGATAGAGCGTCGACCTGCGGACTGAAGCGTCGCAGGTTCGATTCCAGTCAAGGGCATGTACCTTGGTTGCGGGCACATTCCCGGTGGGAGGTGTGCAGGAGGCAGCTGATCAATATTTCTCTCTCATAAATGTTTCTATCTCATTCCTTTCTTCTCTGTAAAAAAATCAATAAAATATTTTTTTTAAAAAAAACAACAACAATGGTGCAATATACAAATCTTGTAACATAGAAACCCACACCTGCTGGGACCAGTTTGGCTCAATGGATAGAGCGCCGGCTTGGGGACTGAAGGGTCCTGGGTTCGATTCCGGTCAAGGGCATGTACCTTGGTTGCAGGCATATCCCCAGTAGGGGGTGTGCAAGAGGCAGCTGATCGATGACTCTCTCTCATCGATGTTTCTAACTCTCTATCTCTCTCCCTTCCTCTCTGTACAAAATCAATAAAATATATTTTAAAAAAAAGAAACCCACACCTGAAACCTACATAATCATGTTGACCAATGTCACCCCAATAAATTTAATTTTAAAAAAATGAAGAGTACCAAAAACTTAAACAGACAGATGGGTTATTTTAAATTTCCTCCTTTTCTACTTGTGTTTTCCAAATTTTCTACACTGAACAGTGTTGCTCCGATTGTATATTAAAACAGGAGTTATAGCTGTAGAGATGGTCAGCACAACCCTTTGGGCCTGGAGGCATAACAAAAAGGCAGACCTATCTCCTCTCTCCCAGTCAGTGAAGGGGACCTCTTCCCGGCACCTCAGTGGCATCAGCACCAGAGGCAGGGAGGCGTGCCACCCGTCAGGACCCAGGAGGAGGTACCTGGATTGTGATGGTGCCTTTCTCAGTGTCAGTCTGCAGGTGAATCTCCATTTCGGGCAGCGTCTGGCCTTCGGACACCAGCTTGTGACGCAGTTTTTCCAAGGCATCACTAGCATTGGAGATCAGCTCCCGTATAAACACCTACGGGAATGAAAATAAGATGCTAACACTGCAGGATCTATTTGGATAGCAGCATCTGCGGCCACTGCTAAAAGGCAAGGAAGAATTGCCACAGAATATTCAGTTTTTACCCATAAAGACTTTCCACAGCTTTATACAGTGCCCTCTAGCTCTACTGATTGCTCCTCCTGAAAATCAAGCCTGAAGTTGGATGTCAGTCTGTTAACTAAAAATGTAAGAAGAACTCTCCGAGAAACCACTTCTTTCCCGCCTCTTGCCCAGGGATGACAAAATATTTTGCAAACATCTTTCTCCTACTCACGGAAGAAAGACTCTGGCTTTAGCTTCATTTACTGGAGGATCATCAAAACCCGGCCTCCATGTTCAGGATAAAAAAGGGCCACAGGCCCCTCAGCCACCAGAGTCTGAAGAGCATCTCTTCCTCAAACAGGCCTTCCACTCCCAGTGAGGCCGGCACACCGGTGAACAGGGGAGGAGCGGGGAGAAGTGGGCTGATCTGACCTCCCCAGGGGACAGAAGTTGGACATCAAAAAGATACATAGCCGAAACCAGTTTGGCTCAGTGGATAGAGCGTCGGTCTGTGGACTGAAAGGTCCCAGGTTCGATTCCGGTCAGGGGCATGTACGTTGGTTGTGGGCACATCCCCGGTGGGGGGTGTGCAGGAGGCAGCTGGCCTATATTTCTCTCTCATCAACGTTTCTAGCTCTCTCTCTCTCTCTCTCTTCCTCTCTATGGAAAATCAATAAAATATATTTTTTACAAAAGGAAAAGAAGATACATAAATATAATATTTATGAGCACAAGATCTGGGAATATTTCCTGAAAAGTCCCTTTTCACTTTGGAAATTGGTGCTTTACCCTTCTTAAAAAATGCTTCTTTGCAATCTAGTAACAATGAATATGGAAACAAAGATGGCCTCTTTGTTCTCTAATTTCTTCATGGCCTGTCATCCCTAGATGAATTTTAACCTCCTCAAAAAGGTTCTTAGCAGCCCCCCCGACCCCCCCTGCTCTCCTCCACAGAAGTCCAATAGATTTTCCTCCGGTCCAATACCCCTCTAGAATGAAGGAAGTACACCAGTTGATGATAAAAGGGGCTTTTAAATTGTCAGCAAAATTAATTTCCAGAGTAAATTTGGCCCAAAGAATCATCTAGATATACCTACTCAAGCAGATTTTGGCAAAAATACCCTTGCTGGTAACTAAATTTAGAATCTAAATTTAATGCATTCTCACAGCTAATATACTATCTGGCATCTCCCCAGAATGGTATAAAAACCGTTTTGCCACGCTAGGAGTGACTGAAGGCACCGCACCTCTTTTTCTGAGTACAAGGAACGGGCAACAATATCCAAAAGCTTCTTTGTCTCAGCCTGGAACTCATGTTTGGAAACAGAACCTGGTAATGAATCACAGACAAAGCAATGAAGTTTAATTTCTATTTTGGTGGAAGAATATGCTATGTAACATTCAAAAGAATGTTTAAGGTAATGAGTTTTAAACATTTTGCCAGAATAAATAAAGAAGAAAGAAACCAATTCTCTGGGGCTCTATGGCAGGATCTCAGGAGCAGAACAAACCTAGGGGTCCCCTCCTTCTCCACGGAAAAGGGCAAAGGGAGACAGCTCTCACCCGCCTCCCACCGAGGCCTGCACGAGGCTACAGAGGCCGGGACTTCCCCAAGTGTCCAGCCATGAGAATCGGACTGCCTCAACCACCAGACCCTGGATTCTAGTCTTCAAAACACTGCTTTCCAAATTAATTACTTATAAAGCAGAATGACAAGAAAACCTCACTCTCTTAACCTAAACATCAAAAGATTCTGTTTTCTCATTTGAAAGCCAGAAATGGACCCATTTTGGGACTGCCTCTGGAGACTGCTTCTCCACACTTCTTAGGAATGAAAGGACAACTTCAGCGTGTGGTCCTGCATCGGCCAGGCCAATAATGAGTTTCCTTCTGGCTTCCATGATTATTAACAGATGTGCCATGAATCACTATTTAGAAGTGCCCCATCGCAAACCCGTGGGTGACCACTAGAGGGGGCAAAACACCAGAATGATAGTCAGGAGTTCCCAAGACGCATTCATTGTTTTGAGGAAGGCTCACTCCAACCAAGACCTTCCTGTGTCTGAAGCGAGTGGGTGGTTCCATCTATCATTACTTCCTCCTCAAAAACCTGCCCTCACCAGTCAGCCAGGAGCTAAGCCTTCCCAGACCCCAACTCAGCTGAATGCAGTACCCTGTACGGTCTCCGTGCTGCTAATGATGGAATGTGGGGGCTCCTCCTTCTGGTCCTCAGCAGCTTGCGAGCTGAATGGACGTGCACTGTGGAAGCTCAAAGCCAGGTTTCTCCTGGGACGACTGGACTGGACCGGGGCTCTCCAAGGATTCAGAACTGATGTTCCTGAAAAGACAAACATGACAAAGAATAAGCCCCCGGGCACAAATAACCTAATGTGCTCACCAACACACTTGGTAACACATCCTCACACCAGCCAAACGCCAGGAAGTATCCGAGCTCAGGGCAGAACTCCGGAGGCAGGCAGGGCCACCTCCCACATTCATCCCCCCAGTGAGATCTTGTATGAAGTCCCCAAATTCAAACCTCTCTCATCCCTCAATGCTCACAGCCCCCCCCCTCCCCCCGGCCTGAATAACAACACGCCATCCTTCCTCACTTTGTTAACTGCAATGAAAAATGTAGAAAACATGTCCCCTTGAGAGGAATCCAAACTTTTAAATGTTATGATTCTGAAACAGTCTCCTCTTCTAAAGGATCTTTGTTGATTCCTTTACTTTCCTTTTTCTGTCTGAAGGTGTCAGTTTGGGTTTTTTTAATTAGTGTATTTAACAAATGAAAAGTAGCAAGGGGTCTCTTCACCCTCAGGAAGGGGCCTCACCCCCTCACGTTTGCTGTAACCTGCTCAGCACAGTGGAAACCCGTCATCTGATGCTGGTGTCCCCAGCCCGGTGGACACCTCCACTGTACCTAGCAGAATCAATCCTGCCTACTGCCCCTCAGGACAGTGCCACACACCAACCCCAGGACCACCAGCCTGGGGACTGGCATCCGTTTGTGCTTCGTGGCCAATGCTTTCCAAGGATACAGGTCAGACAGGCCAGACCCTCCGTGTGGAAGTCTAGGTCTTGCTGAACTGTGCCTGACAGAATGTCCAGAAACAACCTTATGGTTTTAAAATCAACATATCAACTTCCACATGCCTACAAGATACACGAAGTTGACTTTTCCTTAGCTTATTCCTGGATTTATAAATAACATGGCCTTAGCCATTACCTCTACGTAGAATACCTTACAAACATCTATCCCAACTCAAAAAATATTCAATTCCCAAAAGTCTACATTTTTAATTCTATGTGCCTGATCTCAGTGTTTACTTTACTCATAGAGCTAAGAAAAAAAGAAAAAAAAAGAAAAGAGCAAAACAAACAGACAAACCGCCTGGGGTATCTCTCTCTCCCGGAAGTAAGTGCTGTTTGGTGAGAGGCTGCTCTGCACCAGGCCATGGAGCTCCCTGCAGCCCCACCCCCGGCAGAGCCCAAGGCGAGTCTTCCCACCGGGGACAGCACTCCGGCCACACTGGAGACAGAAGCAGGTTTCCCACCGAAGCTGGGCCCCTGCCTTAAAGTAGTTAGACTCCAGGGACAAATCCAGTGAGAGCGGGATAAAGGAGGGATGTCTGAGGACGTCAGACCCAAGCTCACTTCAGGATGGGATGAAACACTGCGATACAGACAGACGGACAGGAGTGTGAGCATCGGAACCACTAACATGAGGAGCATGAAGGAGGTCCTCCGGAAGAGAAGAGCAGAAAGCTCAGCAAACACTGGAAGCATTTTAGGCCTTTTTTCATCTGATATTCCTTACCCGCTTCCACCTGGCAACCACTCCCTTCCGCCTGGCAACCACTCCCTTCCACCTGGCAACCACTCCCTTCCGCCTGGCAACCACTCCCTTCCGCCTGGCCGAAGGGGAGGACAGGGTGCAGTCTTCCCAAATCTTTCTCCAGTAGTGACATGTAGGTACCCTTACCATGGTCCCTATCCCCTCCGGCCACGTGGGCCTTCCCTGTCCACTCCCTTGTCCCCGCCTACCTTCGAGCTGGTCTCCTACACAACGTTCTCTCCAATCCACCCCTTAAAATTCTACACATTCATCTTCTGACACCAATTCCATCTTCCTGCTCCAATTCTGGAGGATTTATTCCTGAAGGCAACCTTGCCAACTCTAAATGCTTCGGGATGGTATTCCAGGCCCTCCACCAACCCACCCACAAACCAATAGAATTCTACCTCCTTCCAGAAGCCCCAACCCAGGGGGCCGACATCCTTTATAAACCTTGTGCCCCTACCTGTATGGCAACCAGCACCGAGGGTGCCTCTACCCTTCTCTCCATTCAAGCTCGGCCTTGACACACAGGGAGCACTCTGACACCCCCCCCCCCCCCCCCACTCATTAACCATCACACCCTCAGGAAGAGACGCCGTCTTCCTCACCGTGAATTTATCTGGAGTCAAGTATTCTTGATCCACTCCATTTGCATAAAGCAGAATTTACTGAATTAATCTTTTGTTATTGGTTTCTTAATCCTCACCTGAGGATATTTTTCGCATTGATTTTTAGAGAGTGTAAGGGAAGGAGGGAGTGGGAGAGGGATAGAGATGGAGACACTGATGTGACAGAGACATCAATTCGCTGCACCCTGACCAGGGCCGGGGGTGAAACCTGCAACCCAGGTACATGCCCTTGACTGGGAATTGAACCCAAAACCCTTCTGTCCGCAGACTGACGATCCAACCACTGAACCATATTGGCCAGGGCAATCTTTTGTTTAATCCTCGGAGGATTCAAGGACATGCTTAGAGAGAGTGCACACATTGATCAGTTGCTTTCTGTACAAGCCCGATGGGAACAAACCCAGGTATGTGCCCTAATCAGGATCCAACCAGCAACCTTTTAGTGTACAGGACACTCAAGCACTTGAGCCACTCCGGCTGGGCTTAGCATTCATCCTCACTTCCTGTCCTGCCTTGCTCTGCTAACAGAGTCCTTCCCCTGTCATCTGTCTTGTGGTCCTCAGAAAAGAACAAGCAGCATTCACCCATTGCCTCTCAGCTAAAACCTTCCCTACCCCAAGAGAAAATTGAAAATTCAGAGGCTAATGGCTCTTTGTATTTTGAGACCTCCATAACTACCTGTTCTAAACCTGCCCTCAGCCAAAACCGGTTTGGCTCAATGGATAGAGCGTCGGCCTGCGGACTGAAAGGTCCCAGGTTCAATTCCGGTCAAGGGCATGTACCGTGGTTGCGGGCACATCCCCAGTAGGGGGTGTGCAAGAGGCAACTAATCAATGATTCTCTTTCATCGATGTTTCTAACTCTCTATCCCTCTCTCCTCCTCTCTGTAAAAAATCAATAAAATACCAAAAAATGTATATTAAAAACAAACAAAAAAACACACACATAAACCTGCCCTCAGATCAGTGTGTGTATGGGGTGGGGAGAGGGGGGGTAATGCTGTTTGATATATGGCTGGCATACTTTTTTTTTTTTTACATTTCTATTCTAACATGTATAAATATTTTAATTAAGTACACATCTTAGAGACATTCCAAATATCACATAAGCTGCTTATTCTTTTTTTTTTTTTTAATACATTTTATTGATTTTTTACAGAGAGGAAGGGAGAGAGATAGAGAGCTAGAAACGTCGATGAGAGAGAAACATCGACCAGCTGCCTCTTGCACACCCCCTACCGAGGATGTGCCCGCAACCAATGTACATGCCCTTGACCGGAATCGAACCTGGGACCTTTCAGTCCACAGACTGACACTCTACCACTGAGCCAAACCGGCTTCGGCTGCTTATTCTTTTTAACAAACACAAAATGTTCTACTATAATGGGTACTACTGCTCAATTTGTGAATGTTTAAACTGCGTCCGGTCTTGTACCATTAAAAACAAAGCCCTAGCCAGTTTGGTTCGGTGGGCAGAGCATCAGCCCGTGGCCTGAAGGGCTGCAGGTTCGATTTGGGTCAAGGGCACATGCCTCAGTTGCAGGCTCGATCCCTGGCACCAGTCAGGGTGCATGCAGAAGGCAACCAATCAATTGATGTGTCTCTCTCACATCGATGTTTCTCTCTTTGTCTCTCCCCCTCCTTCCCACTCTCTCAAATCAATGGGAAAATGTCCTGAGGTGAGAATTAACAACAAAAAATGTTAAAATAATAATAAAAATGCTCCAAAGTGTATCTACTGCATGCTACCCTTCATGGAAGAAAGACTGGATACAGGAAAATACCTGTTTCCACTCATCTGTGCAAAAGAAACACAGGAAAGATAAACTACAAACTAATGAGCTTGTGTGTATCCATTTCCGAGGCTGTGTAACTAAATGTGATAAACTGGGTGGATGAATACTCATAGTCCTGGGGGCCAGAAAGCCGAAATAAAGGTGTTGGCAGGCTGGCTCCTTCTGGAGGCTCTGAAGGAGTTTGTCCACATCCCTCGGGTGCTGCCACAATCCTTGGTGCTCCTGGCTAGTAAGTGCATCATTCCAATCTCTGCTCTGTCATCACACAGCCCTCTCTTCCCTGTGTGCATATCCTGTGTCCAAATTTACCTCTTCTTTGTTTTTTGTTTTGGTTAATCCTCACCTGAGGATATTTTCCCACTGAATTTGTCTTTGTTTTTTATTTATCCGTTGATTTTTATAGAGAGTGGAAGGGAGGGGGAAAGACACAGGGAGAGAAGAAAAACATCCATGTGAGAGAGACACATCGATACATTGATCAGCTGCCTCCCACATGAGCCCGACCATGGCTGGGTTCAAGACTGCAACTAAGGTGTGTGTTCTTGACGGGAATCGAACCTGCAGGGGCCCTTCAGTCCGGGGGCCGATGCTCTATCCACCCAGTAGCAATGGGCACACCTGGCACCAGGAAGAGCGACCACCCTGGAACTGCCCACCTGAAAGCTGTATCTTCCAGGAAGCACTTTCATCCTGGGCAATCCAGGGTTGGCAGGCACCTCCCTGGCACCAGATCTTGGTTTGTAAATACCCCTGTCCGCTGAACGGAATCAGGACTGTTGGAAAACACACAAGATCAGCCTGGAATACCTTGGGGTGCCAGACAGTGATGAACTCAGAAGAGATGGGGCATGTGAGAAGGACATAGGCTCCAACAGGAAGGTATGCCCAACAGCAAAATATAGGACAAAACTGGGCAACAAAGTAATGAAGTAACTGACTGCAAACTGACAAATAAAGAAAGTATTACCTGTTTGTCCATACTTAAATAAATAATAAATAAATGGGAGAGGGGGGAAAAGACTTCTTCCTTACAGTAGACCTGCAATTAATATATGAATAAGGAATGATGGAAT